GGGTGGTGTTTGGGGTGGTTCATGGTGGTCCAAGGTGGCACCATTTGCATTGGCAATTTCCAGCCAACAGAATTCTAGAGCGAGGTCAGAGCCCCTCTCTCTCTATAAGGTTTGTTTAAGTGATAGAAGGGGGTGGTTAGAGAGAGACGACGAATGAAAAAATGGGAAGTTCTGAAGAGAAATGAATATATAGTACCTTCATTCGCTATGTATACATACATTGCAATACTCCCTCAATCAACATTCAATCAGAGTCGTTAGTTTGTTATACTTCAGATCAATGCCCCGAAGTTTACCTTTGGTGGCCCTTTGATCTGGATCAAATGGTTTTAATCCCTGTAGAACACCATAACTCCATGCACTTGCCTATATCTTGGTTAACAGATCATAAACAATTACTAGGGCCAAGCCCAATGCTATTCACCACCTCCAAATTACTCACCCAACTGAAATTCACACCTCCTATGGGCCTCAAATGTATTTCTGGGCTTTAGCCCTTTCTATTGACACACCTCAGCAGTTACTACGTTGAACAATTTACACCCATTGTTTTAATTAATTCAACTTTTATTTATTTAATTTATTTGTTTATTTATTTAAATAATTTGTTTGATTTATTTATTTAATATTTTTATTCAATATATTTATCTCAATAATTTATTTATTTATTTCGCATATCATTTTTTTATTTGCATTACAATTTTTTTTCTCGTTATTATTATAAATGTATAATTTATTTTGATAATTAAACAATTATACTTATAATAACTATTAATTACTTTTTCCATATAAATTTATTTTGATAATATATATTTATAATGATCATTAACTATTTTTCTAAAATTACTTACCATTTTTGTTTAATTTATTAAACTCTTTTGCTTACTAATTTCAACCTTTTTAACTCAAACATTTTCAAAATTACCTCATGCACTTAGTATAGCTAACCAATCAAAACCTGACATTTCTCTACTAAATAATTTCAAATGCAATATTATTTTTTAAAAAAAGGATTGTGGATCTGTTTTCAAAATTAACTGTGAACTTCGTCTACGACTACACAATTTTCAAACTCTGACAAGGTTCAAGGATAACTTGAAAGCATTTACACAATCCATAAAAAAAACTAACCAAACATACACTAACTATGGAATTGGATTTTGGTTCTTCGCAAGGAGATACGTAGGCACACGGTTAAAACCAAGGCGAGTTCATAACTAAAAAATTAAACTCTTTTCTTAAACATATGGCAACAACAACTTTGAAATGGAAATTCCAATTTACCCTACGACCTAAAATAGGATGTCCCTTGAGAACAAGGGAGATGAAGGGTGCCTAACACCTTCCCTTTGTCTAAAAAACTCACGAACTTAGAATCTCTAAAACGATTAGGGTTATCCGTTATTTTCCCGTCCTTAGAACAAAAATTAATGGCGGCGACTCGTATTTTTTTGCCGATTACGACATCCGTGTAAAGTGATCAGTGTCTGTAATGGTATAAGACGAACTCTTTATTTTAATAAGGCAAGTCAGACACACACGCACTTGAAGGTGCGAAGAAACACAAGATTGGGGTTTAAATTGAGTTTCAAGATTAAAAAAAAATTGCTTATCCGAAACACCAATAGTAAAGATTCAACAATGATAAAAAACACAAGTATTTTTATCTTGGTTCCCCTTTAGCTAGGTTAGTCAATTTCACCCTCCAAGGTGATTTTTACTTCTCAATAAGGACTTAATCCACTAATAAATTACTTTGATTACAACAATAAAGATTAACGGTCAATATCTTCTTGAGAATCCTGACTATACCTTAGTCTCTCAAGGAATTATAACTCAAAGACTACCCTTTAATGACTTCTTGAGTAATCTGACTAACACTTAGTCACTCAGGGAAATTAATCAAAAGGTTAAATACAAGGATTGTGTGTTTACAAATTTACTTCTAACAATAAGCTGATTACACAAAATGAAGATCAAAATATTACACTTAAATGATTTGAAATATAATGATTGTTGACAACTGCGGTTAGCAGCTCTCAAGAAAAAAAACTTAAGTAAGTATATTTTATCATCTCAGCATGGATTAGTGAGAGGGAATAACTACCGTTTGAAACAACCGGCTGAAAAACATCAAACAATGAAGTCGCCATCGAACGTCTTTTATCCCACATGTAGGGAAAGGTAAACATCGAGAAAACCTGAGAGGGAGAAGTCACGGTCTTGCGACCGAGAGATCGGGTTAGGGAGTCTGTTACGCGAGGGGAAGGTATTAGCACCCCACACGGCTGTAGTACTCTACGGTATCCACTCTTGTTATCTATATTATGGGTGTGTTTAATCTATGCTTACTGTTTACTATACTACTGGAGGAATGCATGCAAAAGAAAGGGGAATAAAATGTAGGGAAAATAAAATTGTGCTCGCCTGGGCCCTACCCCAATGCCTACGTATCCGTTTTGAGGAATCAGAGCTACCGTAGTTCGGCTCATATTTTTTTGTTTGTTTTGTGTTTTTTATGGACGAAGTTAATTCCGCCTTCTGCCGCAGCTCGACCTTTGGAGACTTATGCATTTGCACAGAAGTAAATTAATCATGTCCTTACCTGAAAAGGGTTTAAAAGAAAAGGTGCTCGAGCACACAAAAGATTTGAGTTGGTTTATGTTTTGTTGTAGATGTTTTTTGTGGACGAAGTTAATTCTGCCTTCTGCCGCAGCTCGACCTTTGGAGACTTATGCGTTGGCACAGAAGTAAATTAATCGTGTCCTTACCTGAAAAGGGTTTTTTTTATGAAAGGTGCTTGAACGCACAAAAATGGTTTGAATTTGTTTTGTATTTTTGTTGTAGATGATGACTGATTGACCTCAAGAGAGAGATATTAGCCATTTTTCTACTTAGCCATGAAAGGAGTCTTTGAGAATTGAACCACACCTAAACTTGAGATGAAGAATAATAAGACGGAGAAGAGACCCGCTTATCATTTCCCATACTAAGAGAAGGCGTGATTCTCATCAGTAGTTTTAAAGTGTTTTGAATTTTGAAAGAAAAAAATAAGTTTTAGTTTTTAAATGCGAATGCAAATGGGAATAAAGTCATAGGGAGACTAGCCTATTTCTAAAACTAATTTTATCATGCGTTAGTAGCCCTATGTCAAGGATGAATGAAGGGGAAGCATCTACCTAATGTTAGCATGCACATGGATTGCGATAAAGCCCTATTTCATTTTAGTTCAATTAGATCGAAGATTAAATTTGAACCAAAGTCACCTAAGGGATCATGAAAGACTATGCAAACAAGTAAAACTAAACAACGAGTATTAAAGCATTGCATACAATCCTTACCAAAAATCGCAAATGAAATACATGATATAAAAAATGAACAAAAACTAACGAATAAAATTGACTAAAAATTGGCGAAAAGAAGAAATATATTTCTAATTAATTTCTAGAGTGCCTTCTAATATTTTTTAACATTTTTGTTATGAATTTTTGTTAAGAGAAAAAACCATGAAAGAAAGTATTAAAAAAAAAACATAAGATAAAGTAAAAGAAATAGGGGGGTGAGAATTGAATTCTGGGGTAGCAGTGCATGGACAGGGCGCTAGGCCCAATTCATGAATGAATCCAATAACAATTTTTTTGTGTCAGGAAGTAAGCTACCAAAAACGTACCAATGGGCCTAAGCAAGGTACAAACCCGGCCCTGATCCAAGTATTACCTATCCAAAGTCTTAACCATTCTCACTTATTTGCAGTATTTTAAATTCTTTTTAATGAGTTAAACTAAAAGAGTAAATAAAAATAATAGTGGAAGGAATATTGAAAAGGGGATGAATTGTTTAGTTAGGGTAAACTGCCTTCCGTTTCACAGCGGCCGACCCCTCTCCTCTGATCGGACATTAGCGCCGCCACTGCCATATTCTTCCTCCGCCCAAACACCTCTTCCATTCCGTCTCCAATCTTACCTCACAAACCTCCATCAATCTCTTATCTCTGAAATCTAAACAATGAGAAAATCCCAAAACCCTAAAGCCGAAATTAAACGGTGATGAAGTAGGGAATCGAGCTACCAAAATGGGGGAACATCTCACAAAGGAAAGAATCGCATCGTGGTGTCAAGAGATGAATGAAAAAGGATGCATGCCCTACCTCGACGGTGATGATGGTGAAGATGGTCTAATGGAGATAAACTCTGAGGTGATCTTCTATCTTTGCTCTCTTTCTTCAATTTTATTCTACTGCTTCTGCTGCTTTGCTTTCTTGTTTATTCTTCTATATTGATGTTGTGATGCATTTGCGTCTTGTTTCTTCGTTGTATTGAACTATTGTTGTACGGTTTTGAATCGAAGCTGTGAATATGATGAGAGTATCTGAGGGTAATTATTACAGGGATAGATGAGAGCACGAGGACCAGGGTCAAAGGTGTGGTTATTGAACGATTATTGGAGGTGAATGAAAGGCGAGGAATGGTGAGGTTAAGATCGTAGAAGCATGAGAGAGATGAAGATGATGTGTTGAAGAATCAAGATTGATTGCACAGAGAGAAAGTTGAAAGGTGAGTGTTGAAATTTTATGTAATTCTTCTTATGAATGAATCGTGCCAAGTTCAATATTGCAGAAGCAATAACTTTATACAGTTGGAGAAAGGTTGAAAAGTTAGTTACAACAGAACTAACTCTGGCCATTAGATCTGGTTTTCTATTATAAGAATAAACAGTGTATATGAGAGGTTAGGGAGTTAGTTTTAGCTAGTGATTCTGTTAGAAATTTTGTTAGTTGTTAGTTTGAAAGTTAGTTAGGATTTGGGAAATGGAAAGTTGGTTATAGTTAGTTATGGGTTGTTAGATGTTATGGTTTGTTAAGTTAGTTATCAATCTCTTAGAAAGTTAAGAAAAGTTGTTAGGTTATAGTTATAGAGGTTAGGATTATTTAGGTTATTTTTGTTATGACAATTTGAGATGGACAGTACTGCACTAAGCTTATATTATGCATATATATTATTTTATTCATTACTGAGCTGTTGTTTGATTAATTGCAGGACATGTTCAAGAGTATCGACCAGTGTATCATAGACCTCTTGGGGGCAGTTGTCAGGGCCAGGTTTGTCATGAAGGTACATGATATCCAAAGTGAAGAGTCTCTGGTTCTCAGGCCACTGATGCTGTGGGCGCCTAGTTGATCTGCAATAGAATAGAATTACTCTTAAAATGCGACCCTGCGTACGGGATTTTCTAGCTTCACGGGCAGCAAGTTGAAACAAAGTAGTAAGGTCTGGTTGAGTGGTAGATGTAGTAGCAGAAAATCCTCGCACTACTGCTATTGTTGACTCAACTTCGCTGCTAAACTCTTTCATCAGCGATGAAACGGAATTGGAGAGAGTAGCGAAAGCGAAACGGTGTTGAGGATTGATGGTGAGTTTGGCATTGACAAAGAGAAGGATGGATTGTTTAATGGCGTCAAAATGAGTGATGGATTGAGGATCAATGTCAATGCATAATAGTATATCTTCGTTGCTAATTGGTAAGGGTTCAAGATTGTAACTGCTGTTTGCTTTTCCTTCGACTCTTTGTTCTTCCATGGCGCTTTCTTTCTTCTTGCTAGCTTGTGTAACTGTTTTGTGAGAGAAAACTAGTGGGTTTATATTGTGGAACTTATAGGCTTCACATTTGTTTTTCTTTCTTTTTTTATTGTGCAGTAGGCAGATTTGGAGAAATTTAAAAGCACGGACAATTCAAAGCTGAGAATTCTGATAAGACAAGGATGCGATACGTTTCGAACTTTGGTCGTGAAGGATGAAGATTTAATCAAGAAGGGTGAGAGCCAGGGGCAAGAAAATTATGGAGTTTATCATAGGAGGAACATGAAGCTTATACACAATGTTTAGATTTTGTAGGATAGTATTTGTAATCTTCTCCTCTTAAAACCTTCTTTTAAATTGTATACTTCTTTTTGAGTAACTCTTGTGTGATATTTGGATTCTAATGGAGAAGTTTCACCTACTTCTTCTTTTTCTTCAAATAGAACTTTGCTTATAGTTTGGTAGCATGATGAAATTAGGGGCATGATATCAATTTTCTCAAGTGCTCAAAGTATTGCCTTTTATTTTCCATAGAATCGTAATGATACGGTTACTCAAATGTAAATTGTAATGGTCATGAATATGAAGTCAAGTATGGTCAAGGCGTGGTTTTTTGAGCTCGTCTTGTAAAACAAAGTTGAATGATAGCTCCCTTTTTTCATGGCTTGTTGCTTGAACTCCAAGGAAACCCGCTAAATACATTTCCCAACTTTGTATGCTTAACGAATAAAATATGTAGCTTTGACGCCGTTTCGACAAACTTGAACAAATTTGAATTTTGTATCAAAAACTTGAATGAACACTTCACATTCCTAACTCAGCCCAATGAAACCTTAATTCACTTTGGTTTTTTATTTGTTCAATTCAACCCAAACTTGTATGCTAAGCACAAATATCCCGAAGAATGATGATACTTTACAAATCACAACATCTCTTTGACAAAACCCCTTCTCAATAGATGATAATGACTATTCCCTGAGGGATTCACTACAGATGAATATGAAAGATGAGACATGCGAATACCTTGATATGGAATGAACCTCAGGCGGAATGCTGACAGGCTCAAGTATGATAATGTATAAACCCTGATTTTTAGCTTCGTCTCATAAAACCTTGCAACTTGATATTGAGAAGAAAATAATAGCCTCGTAGCTTGATGATGATAAGGTCCATGAAATGAAAACCTAGCTTTAAACAAATGATCGATGGAGAAATCAATTGAAACAAGCTTGTGCAAAGATGAAAGCCTTTTAAAGTCATACAACAACCCTAGTTCCACAATATCACTGATCTTATGCAAAATTATGTTGTTGATGAATGTATGCAATGTTAAATGACCTAATGGAAGTTATATATGTGAGAAAAAATGCAAAAATGCGTAAGCCAGATAGGAAGTAAAAGGGTAGGACAAATTTGGGGTATTACAGCTGCCCCTATTTAATCGTCTTAAACTTGAAAGTACGATTGGCACATGCCTTTCGGAAGTTCAAGGTTGAAGATGATTAAATATCAATGCCAAAAAATTTGTCCTGAGAGAGGGAGTAAGTGTTTTCTTTATTTATTTTTGTGTTATCTGCTGGGGAAAAGAAATTTATTTTTTCAATGAAGAGACAGAGATTGGACTTGTAACGTGGCTTAATGCCAATACAAGACAAATGCTTGGTATGAAAAGACAGCAGACGAGGTCTACGGGCGACCTACGATCCCAGGGTGACACATGAGAGTGATTTGACAGAGAACCTAGCCAAAGGGCGATCTCAGGTTCGACGATGATTTTAAGGAAGAACCTAGCCAAGAGGCGATCTCAGGTTCGACGATGATTTGAAGGAAGAACCTAGCCAAGAGGCGATCTCAGGTTTGACGATGATTTGAAGGAAGAACCTAGCCAAGAGGCGATCTCAGGTTCGACAATGATTTGAAGGAAGAACCTAGCCAAGAGGCAATCTCAGGTTCGAAGAAGGGAACATGGGTTATGACATGATGATTGTTTTAGATAAGCGACACGGACGAGCATCGAGAAAGTTTAAACACGGACGAGTGTTTGAATCAATACGGACGAGTATTGAAAGAAGATACGGACGAGTATCAAAAAGTTTATACACGGACGAGTGTTTGAATAACTGAACCGGGTGGGTGTTTAGGAAACTTGACACATACGAGCGTTTTTAGGAATGAACACGGATGAGTGTTCAGGAATGGACACGGGCGAGTGTTTAGGGAACTGACTACCAGACAAGAACTGGGTTTAGAACGGCAAAGTGTATTGGTTTTGTTTGGCATTGAAAAGGTGAAGGTCACTGATTGGGGATTTTGGGCATGATACCCTTCTGTAGGGATGTATTGTTGTCCTTGAATAATTCAGGTTTTTCGTGTAAGGTACCTGGTCTGGCTTATGCTTTATATGCATGTTTGAATTTCTTTTGGCGCAAAGATCCACTCTGATGGATCAGCTACGCACTTTTGAGGATGCAATGTTATGTAATGAAAACTATATGCAATGCGAAGAAATAAACTTCATGGGGATAAGAGAAGGTTTGCTGGGAACCGCTGTTCATCACTAGGGATGTCAATATATATCGCTGTTGGAAGCCTGCAGTACCAAAGATTGTTGGGGATACTGATAAAGATTTGCAATGGAGAGCCCATGACAGCGAAGATTGTTGATGACTCTGTTGGAGATTGAATTGCCGACGAAACGAGTCTTCAGGTACGATGCTGGATTCTGAATCATACCGTTGGGAAGAGATAACCTGGCCGGACTTCCAAACATCCTGAACTGTTGAGGGGGTGATATAAGTGAATATGCCGAAGAATGGATATTGTACACCATGTGGATCCCTCTGAATACATGTCCCAAGTTTACGCACACTGGGGAATTATTTCTTGAATCACTTGAGGAATAAGAGATGGGCGCGGACACTTACGAGTGCCCCGGTTGAACTCTGCGAATGCCCCGGTTTAGCTTCGTGAATGCCCCGGTTTAGCTATGTGAATGCCCCGGTTTAGCTTCGCGAATGCCCCGGTTTAGCTCCATTAGGGATGTTCTTGATTAACTCCACTGAGGATGCACTTACGCGTGCTGAGTCAAAAGACGATTCTAGACTTTCTGAATTCACTTGGTGAATCAGACTCGAAGTTGCCCGTAGTAGATGGAGGCAGTTTCATGTGCTGGCTGGGTTAGGGTGACTGTCACAAATTGCTACCTGCAAGGAAAAACAACATTCGGAGTGCATATGACATCCCCACATGGTTATACATTGACGTGAAGTCAAGTTTTATCTTGGCTTGAGAATTTTTATTCCCCATGTTTCTAATGCCATGTTTAATTATCAAATAAAACATATTCTGCATACAAAACATTTCATGATAATAAGAGGCAACTTTGATGAAAATAGATTTTATTGATTGGCCTGTGAATAGGCATTCGTACAAGGAAGCAACTCCTATATGAGGCAGCTGCAAAATAGAAACGAAAAAAGTACAACAGGAATAAATGGCAATGAGAGATGCTCGAATTTCCATTAAAACCGGTATTGCTACAGTTCCCATATCCTAAGTTGTTTAATGCGTTGCCTCTGAAGAGTAGTAGTTGGATCAGTCAATTCGCTGCCAAGGTGCTATAGATGTGCGCGTGTCATTTGTGAAGAGCATTCAGACTGCAGCCTCTCGCTTAAAATCCCTAATTTTTGCTTGGATCGCCCTTTCAGGTTTTCGACCCAACGGGATACCCATTTTTTGCCTAAGTCTCCCTTTCGGGTCTTCGACCTAGCGGGTTGTTATTTTTTTCATTTTATCCCTAACTTTTGCCTGGACTTTTGTGCCCACCGGGATACCCATTTTTTTTGCTTAAGCCGCCCTTTTGGGTTTTCGACCTAGCGGGTCTTTTTATGCGTAGAATTTTTTGACTGAGTCTGAATTGACTGGGAGCGGAACGTCTTCCCCATCCATATCTGTCAGGATTAAGGCACCTCCCAAAAAAGCTCTCTTCACGATGTATGGTCCCTCGTAATTGGGAGTCCATTTTCCCCTTGGATCGGAATGGCTTTGTATGATGACCCTTCTTAGGACCAGATCACCAGGATAAAACTTTCGAGGGCGAATCTTTTTGTCAAATGCTCTTTTCATTCTCTGTTGGTACAAATGGCCATGACAGATGGCCGCCAACCGCTTTTCATCAATCAGATTGAGTTGGTCGTACCTCGTCTAAACTCATTCTACCTCATCAAGCTTGGTCTCCATCAGAACCCTCAACGAAGGAATTTCTACTTCGACAGGGAGCACGTCGTCAGTGTCGTAGACAAGCGAAAATGGGGTTGCCCCTGTCGAAGTGCGCACAGATGTCCTGTAGCCATGTAGAGCAAAAGGCAACATTTCATGCCAATCTTTATACGTTCTGACCATCTTCTGGACGATCTTCTTTATATTCTTATTAGCAGCTTCAACTGCACCATTCATTTTTGGTCGATAAGGTTATGAATTGTGATGTTCAATCTTGAATTCTCCACACAATTCTTTCATCATGTTGTTGTTAAGATTAGAACCGTTATCAGTGATGATTCTATGAGGGACTCCGTAACGGCATCTTCCTGATGAAATTGGTGACGACCTGTTTGGTTACATTCTTGTAAGAAGCTGCTTCTACCCATTTGGTGAAATAGTCGATAGCCACTAGGATGAATCTATGACCGTTCGAAGCACTTGGTTCAATTCTTCCAATCATATCAATTCCCCATATTGCAAACGGACACGGGGAAGTCATAACATTCATCGGGGTTGGAGGAACATGAATTCTGTCTGCATATACTTGGCATTTATGGCACGATTTCGCGTATACACAACAGTCGCTCTCCATCGTCGTCCAGAAGTATCCTGCTCGTAAGATTTTCTTTGCCATAGAATGCCCGCTTGAATGAGTCCCGAAAGAACCCTCATGGATTTCCTTTATGATCGACTCTGCTTCGTGTCTATCCACGCATCTGAGCAGAACCGAGTCATAATTT